CATACATACATACATACATACATACATACATACATACATATATACATACATACATATATACATACACACATGCATACATATATACATACATACACACAAATATACATACACACATACCATATGTGCACACATACATACGTTTGTATATGTACTTATTGCGATTCGGTAAATGATATGTTGTGTTTGTTTGCTGGAAGCCGATAGACATTGCATATCACTGAATTATACCGTCGTTCACTGGGGCAGCAAGGGCATACACGTGAGCATGAGGTACCTTTTATCAGCTTCGAGCTTGGTATAGGAGCGTCCGGCATGAGTTCCAGGCGATCTCGATAATTTCGGGTGAACTGTGTTTTTGTTTTGCCTCTAACAGATGCATTTTTCAGCGAATCGAATGGCAGTCGCTTCCTCGCGAAATACGTCTGCAGTTTGTTACACTGCTCCGTGATATTAGTATTCAGCATATTTGCCACACGGAAACGATCATCAGATGCTTTGTGGAGCATTTGCTTGCTAAAGTCCAGCCGATTGCTGTCAGAGATGCCGCCGAGGGTGAGTTTCTCTTTGCTTTTTCTTCTTTCCGAAGGATTGATTCACATGTTGCGACTTTCTTAGTGGGATCAGTTGTATGTTCGGTTGGTCCAGATCCCGGCTATTTCATTAGGTTTTCAGGATAAAGCTAAATGGAAAAAAGCATATCGCCTTAGTAGGCTGAAGAATTTAACGGGCATGACACAGTGGCGTGTAGCGCTGCTGTCGTGGTGAAATTCGAATGCTCAGTTCCGCCAGTAACAAGCAGTCTTTCTGCAATCCGTCATTCGTTCCAGTAGTAAATTGGTACTGGTGCACGTCAGAGAGTTAGAACAACTGTTAGTTTGCTATGTAATCCTTGAAAATGGTGACCATCGATACCCTTGCTAGCCCGTGAGTACTGGTGCCATATGCTACCGCTTTTGCTACCAACTGCCTACTTGTGAGCTTCGGTTCTGATAGAGAGTGTTTAGGGGTGAATTTAGTGAACGCATGCGTGTTTGAATTGTTTCAGGAGAAGGTACAAGCGTGGAAAAGAAGCATGAGATGAAATTCGAGCTGCGTGTTACACCGCAAGAACAGAATGAAATATTTCAGTTGGCTCACGATGGTTTAACGTTCATATTACAGTGTCTTCCTGTGTACGTATCGTTTTTGGTCTCAGTCACTTTCCAGAAAAACGTTTGCATACCGCGCAGAAATGCGTTCAGTAGTTATGCGAGATTTAATTTTTTGAATTTTCTACTTACTCAGACTTGGATACCGAAAGCATTTGGATTTCATTGTCTGAGTCTTCAGCTGTTCAGTCAGGAACTTTTCCAGTTGCCTTGACCAGTGCTGCACACTCTGGCAATCCTAACGCTTGTTTCAGTGTCTGAAGAACTCATTAGCTCAGCGGTCTTTCCGGCAGAAGCACTTATATCATCCTGAATGTTGCTATTCTCTATACTACAATAAACTTGCCTTATGAGCTGGAAGCTGAGCCTACTTAGCATTTTTGAAGCACTATGATTTTTATTATTAATTTGCTTGAGCTTAATGTGGTAAGTCACCGTTGCCTAATAACACCCAATGAATTTTCAGGGCCATGAGAATTTTTAGAAAAATCGTCTGGCAGTGCTTTCCACATTTTTCGGTACCAACAATTCGCTATGTTAGCTATGTAAGAAATCTGATATTGGTTTGCGAGAATATACCACACTGCAGAAGTGATATGTTCTTGGTTTTGATCGACAGTCTTTCTCAACTGGATGTAAGTTTACGGGCATTTGAAGTGACACCGGAACTGTTATCACGTGCTAGAGTTAGAAAAAAAAAAAACTGGAACTGTGATTAAATAAATAGATAGAGTGCATGACACTGCAAAATGAAGTAGGTTGTTGAAGTCGGATCGTAGTGGGACTGGTTGTCCAGCTGGCGAAATCCTCGACCAAGAAATCGAGGAGAGGTGCTTACTAAGCATCATAATCTCGTTTCGAACGATACCAGTTCGAGATCATGATGAGAAATTAGCTGCAATGAATGTAATAAATGTAAAATAGTTGTTACATAATTAGGTATTCACAGGTGGTTGCATTTAGAAACGAGTTTTAGTACCCTACAGAAAAGCTGAATTCAAAAGTGTGAGCAAGTTACTTCTAGATGCGGTACGTCCCTTTTGGCATCTAGCACAGCAGCTCCAGCATTTCTCGTGGCACATTTCTTTTTTCATAATTGCTATGATCACATATGTTCTTTTTTATTGGAAAATGGCTATCGAATTCCGTGGCAGATGCGTACTTTCAGGCAGTAATAAAGCGGACCGAACAATCGGATGCTACA